TGCGTTTTGCAGGTAGCAACATCCATCTCCGCTGCTTCGAGCACGTTAAAGATGATGTTAATCAGAAGCTTCTAAAGTTGAGCATGTCAGAATCATCAAGAAAATCCATCATTTCTAGCATCTTGGGGAATGAACATCATGGAATACGGACAAAGGGTCTTGTGGATTGTGACACAAATGTAGAATTTCAGGTTTGTGAGAGCTTTGAAATATGCATTGCAAGATAATATTGATTACTTTGCTATATATAGTAAGGGTCTAAACGCATAGGCGCGATTATCTCTAAATAAAAATTCAACAGTTTTTTTTTAAGTTGAATAATTGTGAATATTATTATTAAATATTTATTTATTATCATATTTTAGAAGATGTATGCAGAACTAGAAGCTAAATGGCCAGAAGAGTTCCGGAACTGGTTTGAGACGACATGTGGACGTGTACGCTCTTTGAGGGAGACAATTCGCCAATGTATGCTAAAGCCGGTGCGCATAGCTGCGGGATTGGGTGATCCACCCAACAAATGGTCAAACCAAAGAACGGAGTCCATAAACAACATCATCAAAGAGGCAAATCATAATCAAGTGTGCGACCAAGTCCAGATTCACGAGGTCATTGAATCTCGAGTGATAAAGCAGCAAGAGCACGAGTACATCAAAGCGATATACAATACTGGGGAATATCGTTTGAGTCCAAAGTACAGACGGTACGCAGTCAGTCCCTTAGAATGGTCGAGAAAGACCGAGGCACAAAGAAGGGCTAGGTGGGGATTTGGAAACCGAAAAAGGTCCGAGCCTTGATGTCACAAAGCCTTTGTCTATAAAAGTGATCGATTCTGGAATTGACACAGTTGCACCTGGCCTCCTCCACTCCATTTGGCGCCAGGCCGAAATAATCCTGTCCCATCACACCATTCTTGATGTCAACAAGGGTGTCTTTTGCGTTACAGAACACGGGACAAGCACAAATGTCAGCAAAGAAATGAACAGAATTACTTGTAGCTGCAAGAACTCAAAGAGCACTGCTGGGCTTTGCCAACATAGCCTAGCAGTTGCTGAGAAATTTGGGGTGCTCTGTGAGTTCCTTACCAATTTCAACCAAAAGGGGAATAAGGAAGGGAAGATTATACACCACCAGGTCCCTAAACGAGCCGGAGAAAAGCCCAAAGAAAAGAAAAAGAGAAAAGGCAAAAACAATATACAGTCAACTCCCATCTTCTTAGAAAAGCCACAAGCAGACGATGATATCGACTTTGAGAAGCCATTGCTTTTTTCTGAAGTTTGGCATAACAAGAACGCGTTTAATGTTATATTTACAAGGGACGTGAAAAAAGTAATCAAATGTGCAAGTTGCAAAGTGGAGTTTGCAAAAGGACCGGTGGTGTGCATACCACACGACATCGCGGTGACCCACAAGGAGAGGTATTGGTATCCAAAAAAAAACGGGCAAGGCCAAATAATCGGTATGGAGCCAACCGTGCACAAAGTGGCCTCAAAGTTTTATTGTGCGAAAAAATCATGCATCCTCCAGCGGCATCCATACTTTTGGAAGGGGATGATTGCAGTTGATGAGGATGTGGCAGCCCGACTTAAACAAGGCCACAGGAACCATCTCCAAAGGGAGTTGCATTTCACTTGCTAAATATAAAGCTTTCCATCCTTATTTTTTGTCCATAGTTTTCTCTCATAATGTTTTCATGACTTTGTAATTTAAAATCGACTGACATACTAATATCTTATTAACTGAGCACGAGGGCCGTACGTGAAGTAATGGACCTAGTTTTTTTATTGCCTGAGCAGGTAGCGCGACGCGTGTGAGGGACATAAGTCAGCGGAAAAAGACAAGCGTCCATAATTTCACGTACTGCTCGAGCGCAAACGAGGTTAATAAGACAATTTATTAAATTATTTAATTATATAGCATTTCAGGGAAGAGTAGTAAAAGTAGAGAATCGGGCATAAAAATACGTTTTTATTTAGAAGGAAAAATGAAAAGACTGACAAACCTCGATGACAAAATTTCTTTTTGACTCTGATTTGTACAGTACAGCTACAACAGGGTAGAAAGCGAGCTATTTCAATGATGATATAAAACGTTTTTCTTGTTTCATCTGTTCCGAGTTTTTATAGCCAATGAAATCTAGTGTTACATCCTCGCTATATAATAAAGGTCGTTATGCCACATGCGTAGATTGGCTAATCAGTCATTAAAACAATTTTAGGTAGATTTTTGTAGAAATTGTAACCCGTAATCGCCCATAATTTCTATTTCTATGGTTACAGATATGTTTAAATACCTACTTTTTTCGTTGAGTTATAATGGCTTAAGATAGATCAAATGTGTAGATCAGCCGGTTTCATAACAGATAAAGTCAAAAACATGAATTTGCACTGAGCTATGACTTTGTTTATTAATTTAGAAACTTCACAGTTGTAACCAAGATTATGTATTAATTAGAACTTACATTATTACGTTTAGCATTGTGTATAGTTTCGCTGAGTATAAAATGTAAGCATTGTTGTATGGCAGGGTTTGAAGTTGGCGTTGTACAAGAAACGATTTCATTACAAAAAAAAACTCACTATTATTAACAGGTCTAGAAAATGTTCAAATACATAAACAGCAAAGACAAGAAGTTATATTTTAACAAGAAGTTATAATTCACTATTTATGTTTTCCATTAAAAAAGGACCAAGCTTGGCTCCCTGTGTGTATGTCGTTCTGTTGTGCGTTAAAAATAAGAAAAATGCGAAGCTACAGCCGTCACTAGCAAGTAATTCTATGATTTTTTTTTGGAAAAAATGGAATATTTGCCCATTTTGATAAGTTGTTGGCGGTCAAAGTTCAATATGGGTTTCCTTTGTTGTAACGGGGTTCCTTTGTATTCAAAATGGCGCCTAGAATAGCTTCGATGAAGTCAAGATCGCCAACAATGCCAAGCTATAGTCCGTTTAAAAAACTTGAAATCGTAAATTTAAGTCGGCGTTTGGCGATTTATATCATAGCCATCTGTAAATTTCGATAAAGTTTGGCATTTTACAGGATTTAAACGTGGGAATGTGTTCGTTTCGCAGTTTACAGTTTTTGTAAAATCTGTAAATTGCGAAACGGTTCGTTTCGCAGTTTACAGTTTTTGTAAAATCTGTAAATTGCGAAACGGTTTAGAATTTAACTCGACGTTTGGCAGTAAAATGTAAGCATTGTTGTATTGCAGTGTTTGAAGTTGGCGTTGTACAAGAAACGATTTCATTACAAGAAAACTCACTATTACTTCAGGTCTAGAAAATGTTCACCCAGTACATAAACAGCAAAGACAAGAAATTATATTTTCATATTTATGTTTTTTATTATAAAAAAGGACTACAGTCGGCTACAGCCGTCAAGTATTCTATGATTTTTTGGGAAAAAATGGAATATTTGCCCATTTTGATAAGTTGTTGGCGGTCAAAGTTCAATAYGGGTTTCCTTTGTTGTAACGGGATTCCTTTGTATTCAAAATGGCGCCTATAGMTTCGATCGAACCAACATCGCCAACACTGCCAAGAACAGGGTAAGTCCGTTTAAAATACTTGAACTCATATAAATTTAAGTCGGCGTTTGGTGGTTTATATTATAGCCATCTGTAAATTTTGATAAAGTTTAGCATTTTAGAGGATTTAAACTTGGAAATGTCTTCGTTTCGCAGTTTACAGTTTTTGTAAAATCTGCAAATTGCGAAACGGTTTACAATTTTTTTTTTTCGACTTAAAAGTCGACGTTTGGCAGTTTAAACATGGAAATGTCTTCATTTCGCAGTTTACAGTTTTTTTATCTGTAAAATGCGAAACGGTTTCGCAGTTTACAGATTGTAAATTGCGAAACGAAACGAAACGAAATGGTTTCGCAATTTACAGTTTTCTCACCAAAATCTGTAAATTGCGAAACCATTTCGTTTCGTTTCGTTTCGCATTTTGCTGTAAGCCTTAAACAAGCGGGCCCGACATATTGAACTTTAGAAAAAAGAGAAAAACCTTTCGATTGAAGCTTAATCCGAATTCTTGGTCGAAAGTCTTACACTTTCTTATTGTTTTTATTTGCTCGAKAGATGGAGAAAATACATTGAAAGTTCTGGCTTTTGGAGATGTTTATTTCCGGCATTATGACCAAAAACGTGCGACGTGTCAACATCAACATTTTTGCACAGGCCCTTAAAACAGTGAGCTAGAAATGTATGCCACGCAATTTTMATTGACTTRATTTRAATAAAATCTGAAAGTTCTATAAACAAGGCTTCGTCCAGTTGTTTATTTGTTCTGGGCACGACCTACGACAAAAGTCCTGGTGTGTTATTCAAAATTGAAAGAACCAAAAATTTATATTGAAGTGGATATTTCATGATGAAACTTCACAAACAACTTCCATATTGATGTCGGCCAAATTGCATCAGGTAAATAATACAACTTCTGACAATGTAAATCTTGGATTTCAACTCGCTTCGTTTATAAATTACCAAGAAATTTCTGTTTGCTTGTCATCTATACAAAAACATGCCATCTAACGTGAATCGCATAATCTCAGACCCATTACTAGATCTTGATCATTTCAGTCTTTATAAATTTTAACATGTTTATCCAGTTTCATGACTCCCTGGGACAAAATACACCAGATATGGAGAGCTTTTTTGATCTCACTGTTGAGAAATTTGACTTTTCATGATACGGTATGGTTTCATAAAATGTTCAGCCGTTCGTGTCCTGTGTGGAAGATCGCTTCTAATTTCCAAATAAGACATTATTTTCRCTTAAAAACAAGCACGTTGTAAACGAAAGACCCCATTCTTTTGCTATTCTTGATAGAATTTTCTCAAATATCTTTTGATCTTGAACAAAAAGTGAGGCGAAGTGAGGCATTTTCAAGAGTCTTTCATTCCCGCCTTTTTATGAAAAACGTCAACTTTCATGCGTTGCCCGCGATATACGTGCGGTCAGCGCCAACAAATGCTGTTGGTTGTCCTACTCTTTGCTATTTCCAAAATGGCGGGCGTTAGTGGAAGTCAGCTATTTTCACCTTTTAGGGCTCTTGGCTTCGTTGCGAATCAAGTTCCTCTCGCTATACAAGCTCAGGGACAGGAAAATCTAGTAGCCACAGCTGTGGATTCTTCATTTCATGTCTATGATGTAAGTAAAGAGCAAAAACATGAACTTACGATTTCACCGCACGTGGTCAACTTTATTATTAAACTAAAAGTTGACCTACAAATTATTCATACCTAATTAAGCTTACTGATAGCCAACTTTCTGATTTATTTTCTAGTGTGCAAAGCTTAATCTTCTTTTTGTTGGTAAGTTTAGTATCGAAACGTTTAATAATATTTCTTGAAACGGAGTGTCTAAACGTCAGCCAGTCGATTTTTGTGTGTGAAAAATCGTCGGAACAACAATTTCAATATAGCGCAAGAGAAATGGCATAAAGACCGAAATAATACTGCTCAACAAGTTTGTATAGTCACAAGCACGGCACTTTGAGATTTTTCGACTGCTACGTCAGGTAGTCGATTTTATTTTTGTGAAAAGTCGTCGGAAAGACTGTAATTTCAATTAATAGCACAAGAGAAATGGAATAAAGACCGAAATATAGTTCTTGTCAGAAATAAGCTAGGGGGAAGGGAGGTGGAAATTGAAAAGTGGGTACTGGGAATAAGGTGACATACCAGAATTGTGGAAGTGAAATTTTCTTACCYTCCCTGTATCAGACCATCCCCCTTCAACCATCACCACAACAATTTATCATTGCTGCCCCCAAGCAGCCAATGAATGTTGGTGCAGGGCCTATAATTGGACCATTGTTTCTTCATTTTGAAGGGATAAGGATTAGGATATTTGATAGGCAGTTATAATAATAATAATAATAATAATAATAATAATAATTTGTTCACAGTATAAACAGATCAGAAAAAATGTTTCATTTGGTTCAAATAGCCACAACAACAAAGACAAACAAATTATATGAAATATATAAACTGTGAACAATACTTAGAATAGACGTATCAAATGTCCTAATCGGCAACTGCCTATCAGTTATCCTAATCCTTATCCCTTCAAAATGAAGAAAGAAAAAAACAATCAATTCGCTAAATAAATCTTTTACAAGCCATTTTAATGCTTGCCAATCTTTCTGAATACAAAAAGGTATAAATTAAAAGAAAATAATTTGAATGAAAGAGTCACCAAAGATTTTATGGAGTGGACAAAAACAATATATGGAGTATTTAAAAATTACCCAAAAGGCTAATTATTACTCATTTTTAACCAATCCTAATCGAGTATTGTAAGAGGAGATTTGAGAGAGTAATCATTACCCACTGATATCTAAAGTAAACTTGGCTGGGGAATCATTATTCTTACTAAAAACAGATGTTTGCAAAATAACAATGTCCTGTGAATTCATGATACAAAGTATGACCTGACTAAGTATAACTTTGAGTGATAAAGCGAAATGGGTTTTTTGATCGATATTGAATTGCAATGTAAGACGAATTCTGTACTTTTATGTAAATAAGTTTTCAGTGTCTAATCTAATCATCTCCGTTGCTCAATTTAGCACAATTAGGTTAGACTTTTAGTGTTTGCACTTTAGCTAATGTGCACATGTAATTTGATCCAAATCACAATTTTATTTTGCATGTACATTGACATAATGATGAAGGTCCTCCACAAGAAAAAGAAATAACATGCATAACAGTTTATGGACCTTTGATTATCACAGCTTCTGGGAAAAATATCCACTCATGGAAACGTGGGAAACTGGTAGGATATATTGTGAAAATGTTTACTTGAAGTAATGTTTTAATGAAACAATGAAAGTAGCTCCAAATAAATATTTATAGACACATGTAGTTTATGCAGAAACAGAAAACTGAGCTTGAACATCAGATAGAATATATGCATTGGAGTCAGTGATAAATGTCCATTACAGCTAATAGTGTAATGATAATAGTTTGTGCCCAAAACAATTCAATATTTCAAAAACAATCTCAGTGATATACATTGGACTCACACAGTAGTTCATGTTAACAAATTTACTGGTGTTAAAAGATATGTGACAAAATTCGGAACCCTCACCTACCGGCCTTTGTCTGCTATAATGGACACCAATTATAAAAAACGCCTATCTTCGGATCTCAATGTACCAGTACTTTAAATTCTTCCCATCAAAAATGTCTCATCTGTTAACACTGGATAATTTTGACCAAATACTTGCATGCTCCAGGCACTGAAAGCATGGTACTTTGATCTCTAACATGATTAAGCTTTAAAGGTGTTATCTTAATATGTTTTGTAAACAAAGCATCATATTCCTTAGAATTTATTCCTGGATACAAAGTTTTCGGCCATTTTTTGTATTTTGATAATTTAAAACGTATCAACGATTATTTGGCAAACCAGCAACCCTTTTGTGTTAGTGCTGAAAAACGTACTGTTTGAACGTGAATACGTTTGAGTCTTCCCAAAGAGCATTGCATTTGAACACATCCAAACTGGATTAGCATGAAAACAATGGTTTCAGGACAAGGCTAGAGTTTTATCTTTTATCAAAAACCCCAGTCTTGAACTGAAGCCATTGTTTCAGGTTAACTCATACTCATTAATTATTCATGAGGTATCCAGGCAATACCTGATTGTAATTTGTACCACGTGAAGTAACTTGAAACCAGAGGAAGTACTCGTACCTTGTATTCTACCTTACATGTATTTCCAGTTGAATACAGGTCATTTAGCTCAAAAGACCGTTCGCACAAGTTTTTTCGCACAGGTTTTGGACCGTTCGCACAACTTTAAGAGGRYATTTCGCACAGAAAATGATAAGTGAGATTATTAGTTTTATTGCGATTCTTACTTTACTATTCATAACACTCGTAATGATATGCAAAGATGAAATGTGGTATTTATAATCCCCAAGGGACCCCTAATTGCATGTTTTGGGAATAAACACGTGCAGGGATTGGTTATAAAGCTGAAATCGGTTAATTTCACTCCTTCCTGCTCAGTATCACGGTCAGACGGACTTTGGTGAACTTATTTTCTTGATTTGGATTTTTGGCCTTCATACGACCCAAACGGATACGTACAATATCCAGCAGTGCCTGAAGCCGGCGGAGAGGAGGAGTAGGAACCAGAGCAACAGAAACAGCAGTAGAAACCCGTGGTAGAACCGGGAGCACAACCTCAGCAAGCTGCCGCGCCAAACGGGAATGAGGAGCTCGAGGTAATATGTCTGGCGAAT